ACATTGGATGTTATTGCTTGACATATGTGAAGAAGCAAACATATCTTATTTAGCCTACACATTGCTTCAAGAGCAAAAGCAGGCATTGCGGGCCAGATGAGGGGGGAGGAATGCCTGTGAATAACTACATTATCTTAGCATAGCTCAGCCAAGGTCAAAGCAGCAGCAGTCTGTAATAACAAAGATGAGACGAGAAGAAGTTTCACACCTCTGTTTAATTGGAGCATATGATTGATGACTGTGAAAGGAGGGAGGAAGTTGTGCTTGTCGCGAGAGCTAGGATGGGGGGGTGTTTCAGTCTTTGGCTTTACTTTGTTCGTGCCTGATTATGTAACCTATTAAAGGATTCTTTAAGGTAATTAAGCCTCAAAGTTCTTTGAAAAGTTATTTCTTTCAGAACCATGACAGCTATTCTATTCTGTTCTGTTCTATTCTATTCCATTCTACCAAAGATGATAGAATTGGGTACATCTAGTTTAAGGAAAAGAAAGACTAAGGGTGATATGATAGCAGAATTCCAGTACCGTATTTGGGGGGGGGGGTACCACAAAGAAGGAGGGGAAATCACCCTATTTTCCAAAGCACCAGAAGGCAAGACAAGAAACAACAGATGGAAACTAATCAAGGAGAAAAATAACCTGGAACTCAGGAGAAAGTTTCTGACAGTGAGGACAATTAACCAGTGGAACTCCTTGACTCCAGAAGTTGTGAATGCTCCAACACTGAAGGTTTTTAAGAAGAGACTGGACAGCCACTTGTCTGAAATGGTATGGGGGTCTCCTGCTTGAGGAGGGGGTTGGACTACACCTCCTGGTCTCTTCCAACTCTGTTTTGTTCTGTTCTTTATACCCAAAGCATCCATTTGTTTAAAGACTATTTACCTCACCCTTTGGAGGCTGGAAGTAAGCAGTGGTTGTGAAGGCCAGCATGAAAATCAGGTGGAAGCATAAACTGAAGAAAAACCTTTTTTTAATGAAAAATTCCCATTTGTGCTGAAGTAGGTTGTTCAAAGGCTCCAGGACTACCATTTTGTACCGGTTCTGTGGAGGGAGAATGGCAGGGAATTGAGCAGCTGCTGGTGTACAAAATGGAGTCAGAGATGGTGACACAAACTTGTAGTTTTATATAAATAAATATGTTTTACATCTAAACAGATGCAGCAAACTAAATAGGCAAACAGGGGCATCATGAGGTAAATCAACAGCAGGCACATCATGAGGTAAATCACAGAGCACTAAAGGGCACAGAGAAGAAAAAGGTGGGGAAAAAGGGAACCTCCCCCTCCACACCCACAGTAGCCAATCACAGCACAGAGTGCCTCATGCAGGAGCCAGCACTCTCCAATCAACTACAACTGTGGGTTCTGCCACACTGCTGCACTGCTCCAACTACTAAATTGTTAAATATCTTAACAAATTTCCACTGCTTCTCTGAGGAATTTACAAGCAAGATTATTCCATCACTGAATAGTACAGATTGTCCTCAATACCCACAGCAACCAGGAGGAAGAGGGGGAGGAGGAGAAGAAAGAGGAGGAGGAGGAGGAGGAGGAGAAAGAGGAGATGAAAAAAGGAAGAGGAAAAGAAGAAAGAGAAGAAAGTAGGAGGAGGAGGAGAAAGAGGAGGAGATGAAGAAAGGAGGAGGAGAAGAAAGAGGAGGAAAAGGAGGAGGAGGAGAAGAAAGTAGGAGGAGGAGGAGAAGAAAGAGGAGGCAATGAAGAAAGGAGGAGAAGAAAGAGGAGGCAGTGAAGAAAGAAGGAGGAGAACCAAGAGAAGAAGAAAGGAGGAGGAGGAGAAGAAGAAGAAGAAAGAGAAGGAGGAGGAGGAGGAGGAGAAGAAGAAAGAGGAGGAGGAGAAGAAGAAGAGAAGGAAAAGGAGGAGGAGGACAAAGAGGAAGATGAGCAGGAGAAAGGAGAAAGAGGAAGAGGAGGAGGAGGAGAAGAAAGAGGAGGAGGAGATCTCAGTCCTGAAAGAAGGAATTTCAGGGCAGAGAACCTTCCTTAACTGCATCCACTCACTGGAGTGTCGCTGTTGTAGGCCAGGATCTCCAGCGCTGAGTTCTTCTCACAGGTGTCAATGGAGGTCAGATCGTAGAGGGAGGTGTGGATGGGACCATAAGTCCACTCGGTCAACTTGCGCGAAAGGTCCTGGAACTCAGGAATCTCTCGGTGGAGAATGTGCTTGAGGATCTGGAGAGACCAAAACAGTTGAGCTGGAGTGTCTCTGGGGGTGGGTCACAAAAGCCAAGATGGTCTCATTGTCCAACCACCATGTGGACATGCGGTGAATCATGCAGTCATTAAGTGAATCTGGCTTTTCCCCCATTGATTTTGCTTGTCGGAAACGCTGGGAAAGTCACAAATGGTAATCTCATGAACCCGGGACTGCAACTGTTTTAAATACATGCTGGTTGCTAAGCAATGAAATTTTAATCACATGACCATGGAGATCCTACAAGGATTGGCCGTAAATCATTTTTTTCAATCCCGTTGTAACTTAGAACAGTTACTAAACAAATGGCTGTACGTTGAGCACTACCTATCCTGGTGAGGGGGGAGATTACCTCGACTTTCCCAGTCTTGACAGCCAGAGTCAAAGGGGTCAGCTGTTCCCGGTTGACAATCTCTTCCAACTTGCAGGAAGGGTTGATCTCAATTGCTTTCTTCAGGATCTCGTCGTACATCTTAACCACGACCTCAGTGTTCTTGTCCATGTCATTGGCCACCATCACCAACGCATGGAGGACGGTGTTGCCCATGGAATCCTGTTCGGTCAGTCTGGCCTTCTGGTGAGGGTTATCCAAGAGATACTTGACCATTTCTAGCTGGTTAGTACAAGCAGCCAAGGACAGAGGAAGTTCACCTGGGAAGAGAGAAAGATGGGCCAAGACTGCATTGAGCATCTAGATCAGGGATGTCCAACCTTGGCCACTTGAAGACCTGTGGACTTCAACTCCCAGAATTCCCCAGCCAGCCATCTTTAAGTGGCCAAGTTTGGTCACCTTTGATCTACAGTGTCCTCTGAAGAGGGAGGATATCAAAACCCCTTTGCTGATGGAAACAAAGGTATCTGCAGGAGGGGTCAAAAAAGTCAAAATGGCAGCCGCAACTTCCCAACGGAAGCCCTGTGATGCACACAAAATACAATGCACATAAAACACAAGTGCAAATGGGCTCAAGGCTTCTAAGACAATGTTAGGCTGCCATCTTCACTGTTGGGACCCCTCCCGGGACACCCCAATTCCCTCCACCAATAGGAACTCCTGATGATCTCCAACTTTGTTTATATTAAAAGTTTCAGTTT